GTCACAGACTGAGAGAAAGCCCAGTACAACTCTTCCATGTATCAATTTGACCATTAATGTTCCCAGAGTCTTCATTTCCCAATGCCACTACTGGTGTGCTTAGTTTTTGCCCACTGTCCTCGTGAAAGACTTCTACCTGGAACATGCATGCTTTGGTCTGTCTCCATACAAAACATACATGTTTCAATCTGTATATGGACTAGAAGCAGTTATAAATAAGTACAAACTTATTCAATAATATATTACTCTTTCTTGACATCTTTTTAAAAGAAAAAAATGAGTTCATTTAAAATTAGACAAGTAAGATTTTCAAAATATGCACCCCTTTTCTTGAGGAAACAATGATATCCTAGAAGAGTTGTGGTAAATTCTGCTATGACTTAATTACTGGATTTTACTCCTGTTTCCCCACTTCTGGGAGCCATTTGCTTTTGTCTAGATTTGAAATGATTTTCCTGCTCAAAGATGCTGCTTTCTTGTCTATTAAAATGGTCATATTTTCCTTCATTTCTTATTTGGGAGCAAACAGTGCTGTCATATGAATACTGGTAAGCCAATATATAAAAAAGCAGTTGGATGGGAAGGCAGTACTTGCAACCAATGTGGGCAACCACACATATTCCATTTTTCCATACTTCACCTTCCTTTAGATGCTTCTTCATTGATCACATTGAAGACTTCAGTTAATCAATGATGGAGAAAACAGCTGGGAGGTGGATATTTATTGTCATTATACTGCATAAACCAGGGATCCCCAAACTTGGCAACTTTAAGACTTGTGGACTTCAACTCCCAGAATTCCTCAGCCAGCTATGCTTAAAGTTGCCAAGTTTGGAGACCTCTGGCATAAACAAACATTAACTGGTTGTTTTGTTTTTAAAATCTCCTTTTCCTTGCTAGGTCCCTAATTTCTAGGCTAAATCAGTATTCATTAACACAATCGGTTAAGAAACTGGTCAAGGTGCCAATAATTTCCTTTCAGCATTTCTACTCAAATGCTATATAAAAAGCAAAGAAGGACTTGGGTGACTTAGAAGCAGAAAAGTTTCTGCAAGAGAAACACAAGAATTGGAGTATGGATGCTTAAATTGAAAAATGAGCCAGAAAAACATGTTTTAAATTTTATTTTCTAAATATTTTTATTTTATGTTTGATAAAATAACATTTCAGTCCTGTTTTGATTTTGCTAATTCCACCAGTCAATTCATTATTTGTAATCACTAAATTATGCTAACAAAACTCCTAGGAATTTTCTTCACATGAAAGCTTGATTTTGACTTCCCCCTCCTCTTCTCACAAGCCTTGAAATAAATCTGAATAACTGTTCATGCCTACTGAATGTCCAGGCTTGCTTTATCCTTCTTCTGATGATCACAACTTCCATCTTATTATTCCTTTCTTCTCTGGAAGTACTGTGAAGTTGAAAGCATAAACTTTGGAACTGTATTTTAACTATGAAAAACTGAGCTTTGTGAAAAATAAATAAAAATCAGGAATATATTATGTATTTCTGACTGCTGTGGTACATGTTGCTTTTGATTCAAGAGAAAATTAGAGCTCCTGAAACATTCCAAACATGCCCAACAAAATGATTTTTACCCTTGGTAAATTAAACAACATGTATATATTCAAGCCTAAATAATTGGCTACTCATTATAAGAGTTTAAATGGTACATGGCCCTGTAAGCATATGCTTAGTACAGTCACTCAGAGAACAATGGAATCCTATATAAATATGGCTTCATGCTGGTGTACTTAGCAGAAAGGTCAAAATTTGAGCCACACTGCTAACAAACTGTAAAATGATCTGAGTAGAAAACCTCTCCTTTTGTTCAAATCCCATAAGAGAATTCAGTTTCAGATATTAGAATTGTACACCTTCTACCAAACAACATGCATGAATTTTTCATCCGTCCTTTAAAAATACACCAACAGGAGAATTAAAAGACATAATTTAAAAAACAGAAGTAAAATATAAGAATTGCCTTGCTAAAAAAAAAAAAAAAAGAATACCAGCATAGTATTCAATTTTTCAATAGTAATCAGATCAGTTAGATCAGTGCTAAGAGACAGGGTACAATGATAATATTTCTTCCCTTATTTGTCCCACCATTACTTCTTTAGAAGTATGTGGAAGTTTAATTGTCATTAAACCAATCGACTTCTGCCATAGTCTGATGCTCAACTACAAAAATCATTAAAAAAGGAATGAGGGGTTTGCCAGGCTTCGGCGGCGGCGGGGATTCACGATCCTGCGCGATCCCTGTTGCGCTAGCCGTCTTGGTGCCTCCGATCCTGACGGATCTGGAGGATAAGGCTGCCCCGTAGAGGCAGCCGAAGATAGGGAGGATCCGGAGAGGGGTTTGGGGGTATTGCAGACCCCCTCCCCACCCGGCATAACCTCCTTTTCTCAAGACGGTGGAGCAGCGGTCAGCAATGGCCGCCACAAAGAAGCCGGCAGCTGGATAAGATTGTGCTGGAGGAAGAAGGAGAAAGAAGAAACAGGAGAAGTGAAAGTGCTGGCTGAGCCGGGAGAATAACAACTTTTAAATACCCTGGAAACTGAATTGCTTGAATTGCCTGAAAGATACACTGTATCCCTAAGAAGATTGGAAAGCGGCGGAGAAAGCTGTCAAGGGAAAGTTTTTTTTTCTTCTTCACTCTCCCACCCCATATAAAGCCAAGGGATAAAGGATTCCTGGACATTGGATTTAACAACTTAAGAAATCGGAAAACCTGAATTGGAGGTATGGATTTCTGAACAATTAAAGGAAAATTATTGTTGTAAGTGGGTAGGGAGAGGGAAAAAAAATAAATTGGAGCAGAATTTGAAAAAGGAGGAGATTGCCTAGAACTTTAAAGAAAGATATATCTTAATTGGAACTTTTTGATTAAACAGTAACCCCAGAAAGAGAAATACAAGAAAGAAAGAAAAAAGTATTAAAAGAAATAGTTTATTTGGATTCTTTGGTGACTTTGGAACTTTTTGGAATTATTCTTGATTAAAAATACTTGGGTGGTTGTTTTGGAAAAAGTTTTTCTCTTCACGATGGCATTGCTTGTGGATGAACTAAAAATTGAATATCAAAAATATAAAAAAGAAGAACAAGATGGAAAAGATACTTTGGGCACTCTTTTTCAATTTCTAGAAATGGCGGTATGCACTTATGAAAAATTGACTATGCAGCAGGATGACTGGGACAAAGAAGAAGAAGAAGCCATTTTTGATGAACAATGGGTTCCTTTTGGGGAGGAGGAGAAAGAGGAAAAGAAAAGGGGGATTTTAAGGTTTGAAAAAACAATCAAAAAAGAGAAAAATGAGATGAAAGGTGGATACAAGGTTAGAAAACAACAGAAAGAGGGTAAGCAGAAGAAGAAAAGGGAGGAAGAGAGACAAAGGGCAAGGAGAAAATAAGCAAGAGAGAAAGGAGGGGATGAGAAGCCTTAATGGTGGGAAGCAAGATTTAAAGAAACAAAACTTATTTAGAGACAATGGGTAAATCTAATTGAAAAAGGGATTCTGGAAGGTACATAAGATTGTGTTTTTATATGTGTATTTAGAGTAAAATGTTTAAGATATAAATGAGTATCAATATATATGATTAGATTTTTAATGGTATTGATAGTGGTTTTATATGCTTTTATTTTGTTTTTTGTTTTTCTCATAAAATTTATTCTGTAATTTTAGAATGTACTAAACAGAATCCCAATATAAACTAAGTGTTATATTAAGTATTATAAAGTTAGGGGAAAGAGTCAAAGGCGTCACTCCAATCAGTGTACAGGAGAAGTATATTTAAAGAGAAAAGATGAATGGATAGCTGGAAATAGAACAGACAAAGAATGATAAGTATTATGAATTGAATTGAGATAAGATAAAATAAAAATAAGAAAGATAAAAGAGGGAAGAAGCTATATAGAAAATTGAAAATGGTAATAAGATATGGAATGATATATAAAGTAAATATGATTTTTGAATTTGTGTCTGTGCGAAGAGTTTTAACCCGGGATCAAGCAGCTTTCAGAAAAGATGTTTTATGTTTTTTATGTTTTATGTTTTGTATGTTTGTGTATTGTTTTTGAAAGGCAATAAAATTCTAATTAGCAAGAAATATAATTTGGATAATAGAATGAAAAGGAGAAGTTGGGATAAGATACGAAGTTGAACAGATAATGTAAATATATATTACAATTTGGAACTATTTTGTATGTTCTATTGGTTTTTTTTAGAAAAGATCTTTTATGTTATTATGCCTTGTTTATGTATTGTTTCGTAAAACTAATAAAATTTGTTTAAAAAAAAAAGGGGAATGAGGAAGAATTAGGTTAGAAGAAAAGTACTGTTAGATTTGGTAGTTTTATTTAAAATTTCCACGAAATGTTATAAAACAGATAATCTAGTACAAGTAATAAAATAAATAAATTTACAAGCTTTTGGCTCACTACCCAATACTTAATGAAACAAGAAATTAAAGAGAAACTGAAGTCTAATTTTAGGCGTATTTGCTCAGAAATAAATTCCCATGGATCAACCTCTAAAGCAGGGTGTAATAGCTGCTGCCCAAATCATTGGTCTTAGGAAAAGGTCACTTGAGTTGCTGTTATAGTATCATACGTGAAATCCACCGCCCAGCATAAATATACCTACCAGGTCAAATTATAGATAAATGCTTCAAAATGCTATATAAAGCCCAACAGTGGTTCTTAACGAACTCAGATCAAGGGGATTATCCATTAGTAGTTTTAAAAAGAACCTGCTGTGCTTTAGCAAGATGGAGTATAGAGTTCTACCCTGTGAAGCCTGACCTTGCACAGTAGTAGGGGTAGAATCTCTATTCAAAGCCATCACTGTAATGTTTTCTATGTACAGTAGTATTCTCTGGTATGCTGACAATTCGATTAAAATTCACAGAGAGCTGAGGGACTCATGCTGAAGCAAAGAGCTTTCAATTCTGAAGCTCTGCAGTAAATTACTTCTCCAACTGCGCAACCATACTTACATCAATATCCTCTTGGGCAAAACTTTCTGGATCTTCTCCCATCATGTTAGCTAAATGTCTCTTTCCTATGTTGAACTCTTCAATCTGTTTTTTAATAAAAGATTCTGTATATTGTTTAGGTCTTGGAGGAGCACTACTTTTCTTCTGCGACACTGAAGTGGTAATGCAGATTAACCTTGCCATCTAAGAAGGAAAAGCACAAGGAAGCTTTTAAAAACAGAAGCATTCATTAATGTCTGAAGATACATGGTACCACAATTGTGCTGAAGTTAAACAAGCCTTGGCTTCGTTAGTACCTGGATGAGACTGTCTGAGTCTTTATGTATCACTCTGATTTGATGATGAAACAAAGAGTATAATAAATACATTGTACACACACACACACACATGCACCTCACCTACATATAAGGAAAATGTGTTACAGTTCAACCACAAGCAGCCATTGTGGAGACAAAGGATCACAAGTAATATTTTGGATGGTTGAGGGAGATAAAAGTTTTGAAGAGATTTTTTTTAAAGCTTCTTGTCTCTTTTAAGCTGCATGTTTTGTATATTATCTTTTATCTGAAAATCAGATAACTTCATGTTACCATATTTAGATTGCAAAAATCTAGTCGTTACATGGCCTAAAAGAGATGAAGAAAACCTTTGCTTATTATTGCCATTTAATAGTTATCCAGATTTTTGCAACCCAAACAAATTTACATTTTTTATCCTGTCATTGTGGACATAGGAACGTTCAAAAACCACAAAACAGGTTTTAGAAGCCTTACATTGTCCACCCGAGGTCTAGACCAAAGAAATTTTACTTTAATTGACTTGGGAAGCTTGTAAATCAAATAAATATCCAATCCATATGTGAACAATGCTTTTACTGTGTTAATAATAAACAAAATATCACAAAGTATATGTGGGGCAAAATTCATCTTACAAAGATTTTCTGTTAATAAGTATCAATTACACGGAGTGTTGCAAAATCAGCATGCAAATTTAAAAAACACTCCAGTAACTGGCTTATATGGACTTGCCCAAGACAAAAATGAATAAAGTTTTTTCTCCATGCTTGTTTCCTTGTTATTCCACATAATAAAGATTAAAACAATAGCATTTTGAAAATTTAACATCATTAACCAGGCCAGACTCCATTGGAATCGCATAGCCAATAAATTTAAACAAACAAGCAAATGGGCAAATATATTTGGAAGGCCAGCATGAAGAGTTACTTTTTTAAAAAAGTGCTGCATAACACGTAAATAAAAATTAGCTTTGTTGAAAAAAAAACAACTTGTAATCTAGCAACACTTCCTTTGTTTGTTATCAGCTTTAAACACTTACACATAGTATGTGTCCTGTAGCAAATCCTCATTAAGAAATTCATCTGAAAAGTTTTTCTAAAGTTAAACTGCACAAATCTGTGTATGATTCAGCAAATCTTCATATAAAATAATCCAATTCATATTATTCATACGAAAATATGTATATTAAATATTAAGTATTCATGGACTTGAAATTGTAGGAGTACTAGTACTACTAGTAGTAAATTTTACTACTTTTAATAGCAACCTTCTAACCCGAGCATACTACAAGTAAGTATGGTAGCAAGATTAATGATTGATTGAAAAATATCTGGCATCTGCCCTGTAAATGAATTCTCATTAAGGGCTATTCTTTCCTAATAAACTTTGTGTTTGGAACAGATGTCACAGTGAAGCAAGTTACCATTTATGTTTGCAAACTGCCTGCCTCAAACACTAAGGCACAACTCATTTATGTGGTCCTACTGAAAATAACTAATAATCAGGCAAAGTGTACCTGTGAAAGTTTCATACAGTATGTACAGAGAAAGGAAGACTGTTGTGTGCACTGCTTCTAGTACAAAGAAGCCTATGGGAAGGGCAATAAGGGCTTTACTTAAGATTTTATTGCTGCTAAAAATCAAGATACTCAGGATGCCAAATGTCACCTCAACAGCTCAATCTAGATAGCAATGAAAAGCAGTTCTTGCACTGAATCTGCATTTCTTCTGAATTCTGGTATTTCTTTTGAAAGAAGTTTAAAGGCAAACAATTTGTAAAATACAATCTTAGTAATAAATACTTGATGCAAGAATGGTTTGTATCACTTTTTAAAAAAATTGTTGTTCTCCAGACATTTGGGAATCCAACATTTTTAGTGTTGGGCATCAGTTACTTTAGCTATACTAAAGCACCTAGACATAGGGTCTAAGTCAAGGAAACAGTAGAACTGGTGTCAGAAGTCGCTAATTATTCTTTACAACTTCAGATGAGGACTTTTGAGCATCTTTTTCTACTACTTACCATCTAGACCTAGACAGGCCATTTAAAAATCCTGATTCAGAAGCTGAACAATTTATTCCGTCCCTCTTAAAACCCTAGTGCATCATAGCAAGTACACTTCCTGCTCAAAACAATGATTCTCAAAGGCAGTTATCTTCCAGCTTTTGTGGAAGATGGCAAGATATGGCTAGACAGATTTGTTTTTCTTTTACCAAGATAATCAGTGGGTAAGACAACTGTAATTTCAATCAAGCACTCTGCCAAAAGAACAGAAGAAGCACTGGCAAAGCAGTAATGGCTCAAGCTTGGCAAAGAGCCAACTTCATGTACTTCTTTATTTGTCCTGTGTTCATATTAACAAAGCTTCTCAGCAGTCTAATTATTCTATAAACAGATTATTGAAGTTGTCTCCATGGAAAGAAATAAGTGAAGAAAACCCCCAGAAATTGGAGAATGCAGTTTGGCTGCTATATCCAATAGACCAAGCTAAATAATTTAGAAAATATGCCCATTCAGCTCATACTTTCTGAAGAGTACTGGACACATATCCATTTTATTTCTCTGCTCTGCAGAATTTTAAATATATCTTTTCCAATATATCATTTTAGGGAAACAGATGAGAGAAATTGATTTTAGATCCAGAAGAATTGGGATTGTGCTTCATCCTAAAATTACGTTAGGGACACTTTACAACTGTATTGCTTAGTGGTGGAAATTTTGATCCCACTTAGCATTATTGACAATTATTTGTACTACATGACATCCCTTGTTAGTCAATATAGAGGCCATGTACATATAAAAGAAAGGTAAAAATAAAGGTTTCCCTTGTCCAGTCGTATCTGACTCTAATACACACTGCTCCTCTCTGTTTCCTAACAGAGGGAGCCAGTGTTGTCCAAAGACACTTCCACAATCTGTTGCCGGCATGACTATATACCGAAGTACATGGAATGCTGCTACCTTCCCACTGAAGTGGTACCTATTTATCTACTTGCATTAGTGTGCTTTAAACTGCTAGGTTGGTGGGAGCTGGGGCAAGAAATCCTGTCACGCAGTACTCCAATCTCAAACTGCCAATCTCTCTCAATAAACACAGAGTCTTAACCGTGGCTACATCACTTTCCAAAGATACAATATGTCCTCAAAATTTCACCTCTTTTTTTTATCATAAGCCCATAGCTAAGGCACTGCTTTAAATGTTCCATCATGAGTTATTTCTCATGTTATGTCAGCATAAGACTTCCCATGTTGTTAAGCTAGTGCACATGGAGGAGGTGGACATGGTTGGGGAAAGCAATCTGTTCAGATCCTATTGGTTCTGCAGGTCTGCTGTGAGATGATCCCCTTCTATAGGGTTGATGGTTTGCAGTGCTGTTTTACTTGTGAAGGAGACCAGATTCCCAGTTGCTGCAGATACTTTCTTTGTATGTTATGTGCATTTTCCATAAAGATAACTTAACTGATTGATACAAAAGGGCTTGCTGTTTCTGAATGGTGCAACTTAAAACAATTGAAACAGATATTGCACTTCATGACTTTTGCTCTAGAACATGGGTGTCCAAGTTGCATCATGTTGCCATCATGTGATGTTTCTCTTTTTTTAAAAAAAACAAGTTTTATTTTTCAAGACAAACAATACATAAATACACATAAACACAAAACATAAAAGTATAAAAAATCTCTTTTCTGAAAGTTGCTTAGTCCCGGGTTAAAACTCTTGGTACAGACACAAATTGAATTTCATATTCATTTTACATACCATTTCATATCTTCTTAACATTTTCAATTTTCTATATAACTTCTCCTCTCCTTTAAATTTTCTCAATTTTATTTCATTTTTATTTTTTTATCTCCTCTCAATTCATATCGTAATATTTATTATTCTTTGTCTGTTCTATTCCAGCCAATCATTTATTTTTCTTCTTTAAAAAAAAAGAAGAAGTACTTCTCCTATACACTATATGGAGTATGATGCCTTTGTCTTTTTCCCCTATATTTATAGTACTTAATATAAAATACATAACCTACATTGGGATTCTGTCTGGTACATTCTAAAATTATACTATATTATCAAAAATAATACAAATCTATTCATTAATATTGATATTCATTCATATCTTAGATATTTAACTCATTACTTTTCAATTAAATCACATGCTTTTATGAGAGCCCTATTTTTCGATGTACTTCCCCTTTGCAGAGCTGGGGTGGGCATGGCCTATGCGTGACGCATCTGGCCCACGGGCTGTCAGCAGGCTGTCCCCTGCTCTAGAATAAGATTTCCATTAGGCCCCTGATATATAAGGTGGTAGTACAGGGAACCTTCTGTATGTGTTGGGGATACGGCAGGGGTCCCCCAACCCGATCTGTGCAAATAAGCAAAGCCCCATCTGCAGGATGCAGGCAGCCCACGAATCATGACTGCTCTGGTCCACGTAAAATCCTCTATTCACGGAACTGGTCCCTGGTGCTCAAAAGGTTGGGGCCGCTGGGAAAGTGCAGGGAGCCCCTTTGCTCTGGCAGCAAAAGAGACCAGAACCATGGCTTGCACAGCTACTTTATTCACTGTATTTTGAAAAGAAGGATGAACTATCCATCTACAATTTACAACAATATCATCTTCTCAATTTCCAGCATTTCAACACTACTTATCTAGTGCCTTCACTCAAGTGCACAAATCCAAATGACTGCAAAGCAAAACATAAAAGCATTCTAAGTCTTTGCTGTTGAAATGACTTCTGTATAGACCAATAAGCATTTTGCAAAAAGTGTGTGGATGCATCTGATAGCAGCCCACAGCTCAACCCTATTTCCCAAATGTCTGAAGACTCCAAATACACCTAAGTAGCAGCTAAAGCAGCCATATCTGAAATCAGAGTGACCATAAGATTGCCATCATGAGGAACAAACCTTTGCTACCATCTAATGGTCAGAGAGCTAAGGGCAACAGGCCCTTGGGAAAAGAAGACAGAACAGAATGCTGAGGACTGCCTTGATCACATATTCAGGGACAGCAACTGGTGGCAGTTTTTCCCATGTTTGGCATTTCTGACTTGGGCTTTCTGTGGGTTCACAGAATTTAACAGAAAACCTGGTGCAAAATTTCACTTCAGACTTTTATTTAAACAACAGCATCTAGTATTATTGCTTTGCAAGATTATATCTGTATTAGGTGCCTGCCATGACATAATATGGACATAATATGGACTGCAAAGCAATAAACAGAGGTTCAATAATAGACCCTTGGTTGCGCAGTGATTAGACTGAGTACTGCAGGCTACTTCTGCTGCAGCCAGCTGCCTGCAATTTGGCAGACTGAATCTCACCAGGTTCAAGGTTGACTCAGCCTTCCAAATCCTTCCGAGGTCGGTAAAATAAGGACCCAAATTGTTGGGGGCAATAGGGCTGACTCTATAAAACGCTTAGAGGGCTGTAAAGCACTATAAAGTGATATATAAGTCTAAGTGCTATTGCTATTGCTATTCAAGGATAAAAGCTTCATATAGATCTACTATAGATAAGCTGTTATGAAAAAAATCCTGGACTATGAATCAAATGCAAAACTATATTTACAATAAGCTCAAGATTCCAATTCTTCTTTCTTCTATTCACAAGGTGTTAATGGACTAGAAATTATCCTCTTTTAAGTGAGAGTTGTTCTAATTGTCTGACAACAGACAACTCTGATTTCAGATTTTTTTATGAAAACTGTCTCTTACATTAGTTTGTGCAAGTTTTCCTCTTTTTGAAAATAATTATATTAAATATATTTATAAATATAAATATATTGAAATTTAAATTAAACCATTTTGTCTTGTTCTTCAGAATATCCTGATGGTATACTTTTTGTCTGCTAAGTATGTCTGGACCGTGTTCTTGTCCTTTTTTCTTTTATACTTGTATATCAGTAACATCTTTTTTATAAACTCTCACCCTGACACCCTATATTTTCCTACCATTGGTTCCTACTTGTTATAATTCTGAATGTACTGTATTATCTATTTTTTTAAATTCAATACAAATTTGATTATATTCAACATTTCCTTAGCATCAAGACCTGTAGCACTGCAAAGTCACTTTTCTCCAATATTCCTGCTACTTCCACTTTTTCAACTTAATCTTCTGTACTGATTACTATTGCAAAGAATAGCCGAACCTGTTTGTGCCTTCCTCCATTCCTTAAATCAGGAATACGTCTTAGAAGAACATACTTGGTACGATTTTTCTCCCTATAATTTTCATCACTACATTTTCATGCATCCTTGAAAGATCTAAAATTTGTTTTTGGTAGTTTCTCACTCATCTTCTCTTTAATTGAGCAGGCAATGGTAGACACTACAGTAACATTGCTTTTATTTGCTCCTTCACTTATTTAAATCTAATAGTCCCCACAACATTGCCAAATTTATGTATTTGGATTTCTGAGCAGGAATTAAATACTTTTAACTTATTGCAAAAATTCCCCCTTTCTACTGCTACTGTTCCTTTTGAACAAAAGCACGTGCTGGCTGAAGAATTCTGGCAGTTGAAGTCCACAAGTCGTAAAGTTGCCAAGGTTGGAGACCCCTGGACTAAACTATTATTCGCATAACCAGGAGACAGGCTGTAACTCATGCTTAGGATCGCAGGTTCAGACATAAAGTCAAGTTTTCAAGGCCATACAAAAGGCCAGCAGGGATGGGATAGTCTAATCTCACATGAGAACGATGTTCCAAAGGTTTTCGAAAAGGCTCTCCTTCTGGGCCCACCAGCCAACAAATACCTGGAGCATGCCTTTCCGCCAGATCAGGTTGGATGCGTAGAGATGGTCCTGTAAATAAACTGATCCTGTGTATGTCATGATGGACTTTATAGGTAACAACCAGCATTTTGAATTGCACAATAGAAGCCAATGCAGCTTGTGCAGCAGTGATGCCACATGTGCCAAGAAACTGGCACCCGTAACCGCTTAGGCCTTTTGAGCCACCTGTTTCGGTCACCTGCTTTTCTGCCCCTAAGCAAAAGTCTTCAGGTTTTTCTTAATCTATAATAATAATATAATAATCTATATATATAAAAGTGAAAAAACCACTCACGTATCATCACAAAATCTCCACAATCGTAAAGCCTGCAAACTTGAAATTTGGCACGTATGTCCTTCTTGGCTTCTAGGTGCTCACTAAGAAAGGATTTTTTGAAATGACCATCAGATCATTAGTATTTCGTATATTATTATTAATATGATCTGATGCTAATGAATTCTACTCCCCCTCCCCACCTGAAATCTGTTCCAAATGCAAAACACAAGCAGAGGAGTTTCTATTTCAGCTTTAGTTTCACAGCACCAAGCAGCTTTAGTACAGAACAGTTGAGCTAAGCCACACCCAGGCTCCTTGCTGTCTTCTTCTCACACAGCAAATATTGTTTCCATTTCCAAACAGCCCTCACCTCTCTCACACACTGACAGGATGCTAGCCAGATGAATACCAATGGATGCTGGTAGGCAGAGGCAGAATTTCCCCTCCTTATTTTTCTCCCCAAAAAGCGAAGCCCAACAGTGAAGCACGGGTATTGAGCTGGTGCCTTATATTTTCAACTCTACCGGTTTTTTGTTTTTTGTTTAGAAAAAACATACACATAGACATAGCACAGAAATCTTGCAAGGATGCATCAGTCGCGTTCATCTTCTGCAAAGTACGTCGTAACTTTCTTATCACCCCTTTGCAAGCTTATCTGTTTTGAACTTTGACATTGCAGGTAATACACCCGGGATCCCCAGATGCGACATTTCTGCCTACAAATGATGGTCCTAAAACCAACAGACACACACACACACACACCAGACGTTAAATGATTCCGATACTTCAGAAGGGCTGCCTTCTGCGCATGCGGACAACCATATTCACCGCGATTTGCCCCAGGAAAGCGGAGGCTCGGAGTTAAGTCCCGGCTTCGCCTTGCCGCCCCGAGGTCAGACATTTGGGGTCGGGGTGGGGGACTGAAGTCAAAGCAGCCCCCGAGCTCAGGCATTGTTGCGGCTACGTGGGACAAGCGGCGCTTTACGCCGCCTTCGCTTCTATTGCACGCGACGGCTTAGCCCCGCCCCCGGACCTTACCTTCGACCCCACCGGCAGCTTTCTCGTTTTGACCGCCGTGCTCCAGCTGCGGCCCCCCGCCAACACGCGCCCAACCGCCGCGGTTGCCATGCAAACGAAGGAGGGGGGGGGAGAAAGAAAGAGGGAGAAGAAAGCGCCTCCCCGCTTCCCTTTGCTGCGTGTAGCCTTCAAAGCGCACGCGCAGTGCCAAAGACGCTTGATTCGCGGGCGGGGGGCGAGGAAGTGCGGAAGGACGGAGAGGACAAGCCAATCACGTGACGCGCCTGTTACGTCACGCCTTGGCTTGGGTCTTCGCGCGCTCTTTAAAACGAAAGAATTCTTGTTCTAGCTTTGTGCGTGCAACCTTTGTGTCATGGTGGGCTCAATTCAAGAGGCTGCGCTGCGCAAGGAAAAAAAAACATCTATGAACATAATGCTCCCTTCTTTCCTTTTAGGGTCTTTTCCTTGGTGTTTCGCTGTTATTATTTTTTTTAAAAATTGATTAGGAGTTGTATTTCAATGAAGATCCATTTCATCCTGGGAAACCTCTTTTTGAACTATTACCATCTGGCAGACAGTACAGAATAATAAAAACAAGGACAAATAGGCTGAAAAACAGCTTCTATCCCAGGGCAGTAGCTCTTTTCAATTCTGCTGTATAGTGCAGTATTGGTGTGGTGTATCCAGTTCAGTGTGTGAAGGATGTGTGTTTGTGTTTATTTTCATGGTCATGGTCAAGAGTTCGTTGGAGGTGCAATGACAATAAAGTAAAGTCAAGTTGCAGGGTTTCTTTGCCAGAACCTCTGACCTTAGCTGATGTATCTCTCCTGTATGGAGGTTCATGGAGGATGTTGGAAGAAATGTTCATCTGGGTTCAGTTCTAAGTGGGGAAAAAGACACTGGAAACATGGAGGCTGTTTGGAAGGTGGTTTAATGGTGGACAGCAGGACCTTGAAGCTCCAAAGAAGGATGATCACATTGGTTGTCAGACTCCCATGGGGGCCATGCAGGGGCAACTCTGTAGGCTGTCCTGAGTTCTAGGCTTGGTTGAGCCTTACTGGATGATGATGCACTGAAAAGGGCTTTTGGCAATTGCTATAGCTTTACCTGGAGATCTTTGTTATGTAAAGTATTCTGGACCAGGCCTTAATGGCCCACCCATTAACAAAGGTGGGGGTGAGCTTCTGCTCCTGAGTTTCTACTCTTTTTAGGGGAAATATTCTGCCTTTTAAATATTTCCTAGGATATTTCAATTTTCTAGGAGAGGGGTGGGTGTTAACTTTCTACAAGGATTAGAATAATTTTGCAACATCTATTTTTTTTAAACTCGGGCTTTTGTTTATTTTGTTGTTTTATTAAACTCACATCCCGGACATAAACTGTTTCAACTCCTTCCCTCAAAATGACGCTATAGAAGAACACCAGAAGAACTAGACACAAGAAAAGTTTTTTTTCCCGAAAGCCATCACTCTGCTAAACAATTCCCTCAACCCTGTCCAACTATTACAAAGTCTGCACTACTATTACTATTAATCTTCTCATCACTCCTTATCACCCATCCCCTTCCAGTTGTGATTGTAGGACTGTAACTTTGTCACTTGTATACTTACGATTTATATTGACTGTTTCCTAGTGTGATTTGATTGCTTATTGTACCCTATGACTATTATTAAGTGCTGTACCTTATGATTCTTGACTCTTGGTGAATGTATCTTCTTTTATGTCTACTGAGAGTATTTGCACCAATACAAATTCCTTGTGTGTCCAACCACACTTGGCCAATGAAGAATTCTATTCTATTCTAAAACTTTGAAAACATAAGACATATCTAATGATCTTCCTTGAATTTTCCCAGGGGTTTGCTTTTCAGATTAACAAATGCTATTCCCCATGATTGATTGCAGCATCTGGTCCTAATGGATGATCTTCATATCTGCATCAATTGTGTCCTGCCACCCTTGCTTTAGTTTTCCATGCAGGTGTTTTCCATTAGTGTTAAAATGGAAGGCAATGCATGTGAGGGTGCAGCTCATAAGATCTGGCCATACCACTATAGGTGCTTTTCCTGCATTTCCTCTGTTATTGGTCCAACACTCATCTGCTAATGGACTGTGTTGTTGGATGGTCAAAAAAACGTAATGACAGCACAGCATTCATGTAATATAGAGGCATTCACTACTTTGGTGGTTGGCCAGCACTAAGCACTGTACAGTGCTACTGAGCAAACCATCGTTCTGTATATTTCCACTTTTAAATCATTTGGCATTCATCTATTACAGAGTATCCCTGTAATCTTTCATCACAGTCATGTTTTATTCACTCCTGCACACATTCCATCATTGCCATGATCACTTTGCAGATGGGCCCTATGTAATGGAAGTCTTCATTAGATCTTCACTGCTGATGTAAATGGTGAAGATGTTTGGGCCGGTCTCCAGATACTTGGTGGTCTTGATATTGAGGTGCAAACTGAAGTGGCTAAGAAGATTGATTGTTCGATGTCTGGACACAGTGTTACAGTGATGGCTTTAAGCAAGACATTTTTGGTGTAAACCCAGGGGACACTATGATGCAGATCTCGTGATGGGATCTGTGGTGAGGATGAACAACAACAGCATTAGTCCCAAGACTTCATGGGAAAGTTTTTGGAAAGGCCAGCACATCTCACTCAGCTGCAGATATTAACTAGAACATCTGGACCCATTTTATGAATAGCTTGTGCACATCATGATCATGTAATATGTACCATCAGCTGATATGGAACACATTCAAAATCTTTTTCTAGGTCAAGGAATCCAGGTGTAATTGCTTTTTCTTTTCTCGATGCTTTTCCATGAGCATGTAGGTCATAAAAACGGCAGTGATAGTCAAGCTTTTGACAAAGCTACATTGTTTTATGTTGATTTCAGTAATGTCACAGGAGCTGATTAAGCACGCACTCAAAAATTTTCATTGTGTGAGACAACAGGGATTAGTTAGTAATTGTAGCAATCACCTGTACTTTTGAAGAGGGAAACTTGTGGTCCAGCCCAGCAGGCACATGGGCACAAACCATAAAATAGCAGCTACCTGAAGAAGCTACTGTAGTCAGCCACTCAATTACTCTGTGATGAAATTCTTTCAACTTCCGGACATCTACTGGTACCTTGCCTAGGCCAGGTACTTTCAAGTTCTTCATAGCTTTAGTAACCTGTTCAAATGTAATGTACAGGGCTGGGCCAGCCTTAGCTAAGCCATCAGGCATTGGGTGTGGAAATTTGATTTTGTCACAGTATTGCTGCTAGCATTTTGGAATTTTAAGCTTATCCTGCAGTTGCTGTCCATTTTATCCATGTAGTGTTCACGTGTATTTAATATTTTTATTGGCTTGATCTGCACTTTCGCTAGTTTTTTTTTTTCACCTTCATTTATTTTGTTGTTCATAAAAATTCCAGTAGTGATTGACTTTGGCCTCTGCAGGAAGAATGCCGGGTTTTGTTGCCACTCTTCTTGCAATAATTTTCTTTTGTCAGTTTTTGTTGGTCTTCTGCACATGCCAGTTCTTGTAGGCCATCTTCTTTTCCCTTACTGTCTGCTGCACTTATTTCATTCAGAGCCATATCTGCTTGTTAATTTGAGGATGATTTGTCTATTTCTCAAAAAATGGTATGATATATATAAATTATGATATTTTGTAGTTTACAATATATAAGCTAAATGACAGTATAGCAATATATTATTAAATAAAAATTGAAGCCATTAAAAAAAAGTTTACCTGTTTTATAAAGGAAAGCTATATGGTGATAATAAAGAAACAAACTTAAGGTCTTTAGAGAACAAAACCACAACAATATCTTTTAATCAGGTTTATGGGCTGTTTCACACATGAAAAGATTCTGAGCAGCTGTTCTTAATATGCTGATGGGAGCACTGCAGTAATGCCACCAGAAAAGACATTCCATTGAAAAATATATGCCAATTGTATTTTGATAATATTGATTATGTGCCATGAAGTCAGTGTCTATTTGTAGCAACCATCCAGATAAATTTTCTTCAGGATGATTTGGTCCCAGTCTGGTTCTTCATGTCTTTCAGTGGACCAGCCAACTTCCCTATAACTGAATCAACCACTTTGCTGCTGCTTTTTTCTCTTTCCTTTTTACATTTCCTAATAAAACCATTGCCTGCACAACTCTGATCTTTGTAGGCATATTCAACATCTCAATAGTGTTTTTTTTCTCTCCAAAGGCCTTTCTGGCTACTCCACCAAGTGCCAGCCTGTGGCATATTTCTTGACCACTTATTCCATTATTGTTCATGATTGACCCTAAAAGGCTGAGGCTATCAGTTCTTATTTTTAGTTCTAAGTCTGGGTTGCTGCACCTGTTATTATCATGAGTTTTGTCTTCTTTACCTTGGTCCCTTTTTATTACTGTAGTCCTTGACTTTCATTCCTGGACCTTGAGGATCATTTGCATCTATCAATAGGCAATCACAGCTTAATAGGCTTTTGGATGCTAAGTTCCAAAAAGAAATGCTCTTATGAGAAGACATTGCTCATCTAGTCAGTTGTTTATTTCTTCATGTGGAGAGAGAGAGCAGGGGCACAACAGAAAAACCACATTGGATCTGACTTACTGTACATTCTTGCATAAGGCAAGATTAATTTTCAAGAAAGGATGTAACAATTGTTGCTCCTTTAATAAGAAAAAGAAGAAACTGGGAAAGTTTGAGCAACCTCATCCTTAAAATTCTGTGGATGAGATTTGCAGATTATACAATAAATACCCACTGAAGCTTCTACAATGCTGTGGATAACAATGGTGTCCACCTGACCTTTACAGATGTACATGCCATATGCTAAATAAAGAAATATGGATGTGGAGTAATCCTCGATGTATGATCACAATTGAGCCCTAAATTTCCATTGCTAAGTGAGATAGTTGTTAAGTGAGTTTTGCCCCATTTTATGACCTTGTTAAGTGAATCACTGCAATGTTAAGTTGGTAACATGGTTGTTAAGTGATTCTGGCTTCCTCCACTGTCTTTGCTTGTCAGGTCACAAAAGATGATCACATGACACCAGGATAGTGCAGTTGTCATAAATATATGCCAGTTGCCAAACATCTGAAATTTTATCATGTGACTGTGGAGATGCTACAAACGTAAGTGTGAAAAATGGCCATAAGTCACTTTTTTCAGTCCTGTTGTAACTTTGAATGGTCACTAAATGAACCATTGCAAGTCAAGGT